GAGGAAGAGGGCGCTCGCAGTGAAGAAGCAGGTCTGGTGGTGGTGGTGGTGGATGTGAGTGAGACTGTGAGAGTGACTGGAGACGAGGTGCCTGGCACCATGAGCGTGAGTACGTGGGTGGTGGTGGGAGACCAGACAGAGAGAAGAGAGGATGGGCTTGGATGGGGCCTGCAGGGCGGCGAGATGCGCAGTTGGAGAGGGGAGGGCGTGCGATGATGAGTGGACGACAGCGCGGATTGGTGAGAGATGATTGGACGAGAGCCTGTGAAGGAGGGGGTGTGGTGCTAATCTGGAAGTGGGGGGTGGGAGGTAGCTGTGGGAAAGAGCAGGGCAGCGCAGCAGGAGCAACAAGAGGCAAGCCGCAATATCCAGGTACCGGTGAGCTTAGGAAGGTGCACGAGGTACCTTGCCTCACTTCACGTGCAAGGGTTCGTCACCACCTCAGGTACCTGAAGTTGGCGAGGGAGAGACGGGAGTTTCTGCTGGACGTAATTCTGTTGTTCTCTTCCCACTTTTCAATTGATAAAAGTAGGCCAGATGTTGATTCCGTATAAGTCTCTATCCGTATCTGTGCTTTGAATACTTGAACAAGGTTGCGGCCGTTCGTCCCGGCAAGAGAGAGAATGGTCTTGGTCATGAGGGCCGGGCATTCGGTGTAAGTTGAACGTGAGGTGAGGGCCGGGTGGGCAGCGAGCCCGTACCCTTGGGCAGTAAGGTAGGAAAGGTACCTTGGGACGAAAAGGTACACACTTCACACTTCGCACCAGGGCAAGCGCTGCACAGCAATACCGGCATGCAAAAGACAAGGGCAGCCGCCGCAGCCCATCCTTTTTTTTGCGGTCCATCACGACCTGCCAACTAGTGCGCGCCTGCTCGCCAACACCGACTGCATTGGCATCAGAATATGGACTGGACTGTGAGGTGCAATGGAGACTGGCATTGGAAGACTGGGGAGGGGGGATAAACATGGACGAGGAAAGACGGGCAAGGTACGGAGTACCTTTCTATGTACTGCGTAGGTATCCATCCGTACAGAGGTAGGGGGGAAGGAAGGAAGGAAGGGAAGGGAAGGGAAGCCAGGCGGGCTAAAGTGGGCACCTGGCGAAAATGGGGGACCCTCTTCCTTCCTTTCCTTTTCTTTCCTTTGCGCAGTTGGTGATTTTTTATTTTATTCTACCTATCCAATACTTTATTTCATTTCTCATGTGGTTCCTGGCTTCCCGCCCTCGAGCCTTAGGAAAGACTACCTTAGTCTGTATCTCATCTACCTCACATATTCGCAGAATCTAATACTCTTTTGCACTCTGGCACTCTGAGAGGGGAAAACCAGACCAGGCAGGCAGGGCAGGGACTGGGACGTGGATTGTGAGAGGGGAGGGGGGCTGATGTGGTATTAGTGACAGGGGGGTGCGGTCAAGATACCTTGGACACACCACGCACATTCTCCGTCTGCCTCCATCTCTCACTCCCCGTTGCCCATACTGTGTAATGCCACCAGCAAGCAGCCCTCTCTGCCACTCTATCCGTACCATTTCTTACTCATTCTCGGAGTTCCTATTGCACATCGTCTGAACCTGGTTTGAAGCCCTATATTCTCGCAGCGACATCTCCAGTGGTTGAGACTGATACGAAAAAAAAAAGAGACCCAGCATTTTTCAACATGTACCAGTCTATCAGCGCAGCGGTGTAGGAAGCGGTCAACAATGGTCCGCGATACTCTTGACTGTATGTGTATCATGGGTGCTAACACGACACAACCTGGTAGCCAACTCTAGACTCTGTGTGTACGTCGTACCTCGAGCCCAGGCCTTCCGGGTAAGCCTTTGACATCCAGCCAGAACCGATATCTACCATGTACACCTAAACACCTTATTGCGTACACAAACTGCCCAAGGTATGTCTCCGTACCACATACGCCTATCCAAGGCGCATCAGAATAACGCTCCGGGAACGAACGACGTTGACGAACGACATGATGCGAGTGTGGTGGTGTCCTCGCCTCATCTGCTTCATCTAACCTTTGGAGAGCTTCTTTCACTCCATGCCAACCGACGACGGTACAAAGTACAGACAGACCGAAGGGGTCAGTGCCGGGGGCCAGGGTCAGAGCCAACCTCGATACCGGACCCCGTATGTCTGATGTACCCTGCCTTGGCCTTGCCTTGGCCGTCTTCTTCTTCTGTCTGCCCCCCTCCGAGGCCATTCCAAAAAGTTTCCAGCTTCGGGGGCGGTCATGATTACTCACGAATATACGGATAGAGTACCGAGTACGGAGTACTGCTGTTCATCTCCCTCCAGATGCTCAGCCTGGATGAGCCACGTACCGGATATCCACCATCAATTCACCAGCCTGTTATGCCACATTGCGATGCGACGATCACCATGAGCTCTCTCCAGCAGATCGTGGAGGAGCAAATCCATGGCCATCTCTCAAAAACCCCCCAGTCACGCGTCTCGCTCGCCAGTGATTTACCTACATCACCCGGTGAGCAGGGCAAGGCAAGCCGGTAAGGACCGGCACGGCTACGCCACCATTCACGGCACCTCGTCTGTTCCCAGTTACCAGGGACCTGCCCCGGGCAATCCGCGATGCGAGAGGCAAAGGAATGTAGAGGAATTTCGACGTCCCAATTCTTCATCTCGGTCTTGGTACGAAGAACCAGTTAGTAGCTGGGCCATTCCTAGTTACCTAGTACCAACAGACCCTTTCTACATTCCATCTCATTTCTGCGCCGGGTTCTCTGAGGTGGTCGTCGACTTTCTGCAGCTTCCAATGGTTACGCCGCGCATTCTTGAAGCCTGGCAGAATCAACACTCGGTCCGTCGATACAATCCAATGTCTCTCCCGAGTCCAGCCATGGCAAGACATTGGCCCATTGGCGAGTTCCTCCCACCCTAACAAAGTGCGAACGGATACATAGGCGGCCTGCCCCGTAATAGTGTTGGAATAGATGCAGGCCAACCGTCAACCTTTTTCCTAGACCGAGCCTCGTTTGTCTTTGCCTCATTTCTTCTTATCCCCTTCCCTCTCGTCTTGCTTCCCAGGTGGGCAAGTAAGTTTTCATTCCTGTTCCTTTTCCTGCTTCCGATTACCAGTTGAACCACTCTGCCGTCACACTCTTGTCATTCCTATTCGCCCGTCGTCTTGTCTCCCACAGATCCTCACGACCCAGCAACATGGTCCTCAAGTCCGAGTCCTTCCCGCCCACGCATTCCCCAATTCGCGTTTCGGCGCTTCGTTGCTTCATTATTCTTGTCCCCGCCACACTGGTGTCCCTGCTCCTGTCAGGTACACCTGATGGGAGACAAAGCCGAGGTGCCTACTGAGAAGAAGGAGCTGCAAATACAACAACGTAGCAGGGGATATTTGCCCTTGCATTGATGCTTTGCATATCCGTACTGTACAGACTACAGACTACGCAGTACAGACCAGAGGTCATTGGCGAGGAAGAATCTTGACCGCAAGCCGGTACTTTGCGCACTAGAGAACCTCACATGGCGTCTGTAGCAGGGGGAAAGCCATGCAAAAATTGATTCGCGGTGTGTGTAGCGTCTCATTGTGGTCAGGAAGGGCACGCCCACCTAGCAGAGACGGAAGGGGACCCTCTCAAAGAACCGGAACGCAAACCACACAGACTCAGAGAGGAAAGAGAGAGGCAGAGAGGGAGACAGAGAGAAAAGGCTCGAAAAAAAGCTCGAGGCTCACGGCTCGTGGCTCAAGTTGCTGCTTTTTCCCCCCAACACGCTGCACAAAGTACTCCAGGGTGATCCTTGTCTAGTTCGATTGCACACATGGGCGCTAGACCTGAAATGATCAAGCCGTGACGGCCTGCTTCTCACAAGGTGTGAGGAGGTACCTGAGCTTGTGCCAAGTGACCGCGGCGGTATGGAGACGTGACCTGGCGGTGTATCTGCTGGCAATCTGGTACTTATTTTTTCAAAAGTGTCATCTGGCTTCTATCAGAGGCGACAAAAAAAGGCAGTATGCGAGTTGGAGATGCGTTGAACGTTGGAACTTCGACGGGGAGGCCCAAGACGACGGGTAAGCCGCAAGACCAGGACCAGGACCAGGACCAGGACCAAGGAATGGACGTTGGTATTAGGCTCATCCACATCGATCCATCTCAATATGAGGAAAGCGTTGCAGCGAAACGGGACGAAGTACATGCGTGCCGGGAGGAGAAAATAACAAGGGCGCGGAGGCACGGATGCACGGGGCCACGAGCACCCTGCGAGTCCCAGATTTCAGTCAAGCTATGTATCCTTAGTGCCCACCCACCACTGCCACATTGTCCACCTCTGCAGACTGCTGTCTGGCATCGAGAATATACCACAGTACGAATTATTGTATTCGTACAGAGACGCAATACTGACAACCCAACTGACCAGTTCGTGACTGACAAAGTGAAGTAGGTAGATTGGCGCCACCCGAGTTTGCGACGCCGCGTCTCCAGCCTCAACAGGAACCCGTCAGCCTAACATGTTATTCTCAAGTCTACGGACGATGCTCCGTCCAGCCATCACCAACCAACCCCGGACGACATGTCTCCCGCGGCTCCGAACCGGGGTCCAGATGGGCTTTGTTCGGGCCACAGCATCGAGGCCTGGGTATCACGGTTCCAATCTGGTCTCGTAGGTTCACTGTTTACCTGCAGCAGGTGTTGAGAAATGTGCCGGTGGGCAGGGCATGATCAGACACCAGGGGTCGTCGACGGGAGCCGTTTCGATCTGCCATGTTTGCATGTCGCAGACTCTCAGTTGGCCCTATTGCCCTACACTACGGATCGTTCACCGAGTAAGTTGATCTCGGGGTGTAGCAAAGATCATCCGCCTTATCATGTCTCGAGTCACAGTCACACACTACTCACTGCAACAAGGCCAGCCAGATGCATACCGTCTCCATCTTCTCCTCTCTCTCTCCCTCTCTCTCATTCATATTTTGTGACTAAACTTGCCCACCATGATCGATCGGGGATCCGGCCGGGCCCTGGGAGACCATCATGGTCCATGTCAGGTTTCCTCGACGACGGTCCGCACTCCGTACCCTTCATTCCTCCTCCATTCGCGGGCACTCTGGGGTTGGCGCAGGCCGTGCATCTTACTCACCACACACTGCATCTGAGAGTGCCTGCCCCCAAAGAAACGAAAAGCGACAACCACACTCACCTCAGAGCAGGCAGACCCGAGTGAACACACAGAGTCAGCGTTTGAGTGTTTGGAAGGGGGGGGAAAGTAAAGGGACCCTTCAAAGGCAACGGCTGGGGCAATCATCTGAACGGGGGGGACGGCCATTAGATTGGGGCCTTGCGCGCGACGACGCTTTTACTACGAAACCTTGTGCCAAAATAAGGTGCTTCACTCTCTCTCAATGCGGCGAGATGAGCACAAGCAAAAGTGTCACACAAAAGTATGAGAGATTGCCCATCTCACCACACTGCATCAGTTGAGCAGTATGAGCCTCAGAGAAACGTCGCAGAGATATAAGGTGATTGACTGCTGGGGTTTGGTGGTCTTGGTGATGGTGGATGACTAACGAGCAGTGAGTCCCGTCGGGTGTTAGTTGGATCAGAGAGAGATACAAGAGTCAAGAGTCATACTTCGTACAGAGAGGCTCTGAAGCAAGTGGAGGGATCCGCATCCCCGTACGAAATACACCGACCGTAAGGTAGATATGGGATAAGGTAATGTCGGTAACAGGGGGGGGGGGGGAAGGAAAGTGTAAAGGCTGCCCGTGGACATCAAGTCAGGGACCTGAGGTGGAATTAATTAGGTTCTTCCAAACCGGCTCCAACCTAAAAAGAAACAAGGTGTTGGTTGGCAGGTTTGGGGCCCTGGACTTTGGGAGAGTCGAGACATCAAACGGACGAGAGAGATCTGCAAATCTTCTTCTTCTTCTCCTTTGTGTTGGGGCTTTTTTTTTTTTTCTGCCAGTTGTAATCTACCTGCTTTCTAAGGTTGACTTTTTGGCCCCGTCGTGGAGAAAATCATGGTGAGGCTACCTTAATTGTGAGGGAGAATAAAAGAGAGAGACTTTTGTCCGTGGGCATTGTCAATTTCATTTCTGCCAAGAATCATTTCCAGAGATACTTTGACGAGATATATAGACGGCTTTCTGTTTAATTGATTACTCTCTGGATTGGGCATATCCTCCAACCGTTGCCAAAAGAAAAAAAAAAAAAAAAAAAAAAGACACGATGATGAGAATTGGGTGAGTATGGTGCCTATACGTAGTACAGTGTAGTGTAGTTTGCGATTGCCCACCCATCTGCGCATCATCGCCCCTAAGAGGATCCATATGTACCTTTTGGTGTCCAAGGTGCCTTTGCCTCGCCTTGCTGTGAGGTGAGGTGAGGTGCCTGCCTCTCAGACGGGGAATGGCAGCTGGTCGTTGCAGAGGATCTCCAGCTAAGAGAGAAAAAAATCCCAACCCAGACCAGAGGCAGGAAAGGCCCCAAGGGAAAGTTCCCCCCTCCACTCCCTCTTTCCCTTCCATTTCATTCGTTACCCACACCCTACCCCCTCTCATTGAGAAGGTACCTAGATACTCGGGTACTTCCAATCACGCCCCCCCCCCCTTCCCCCTTCACTCTCCCGTCCTTCTCTCTACTGTGTGTGTGTGTGTAGAGACTCTCGGTCAGGCCCAATCACGATGTGTCTGGATCCCATTCGGTACTTGCCTAACCTTGCCGGTGACTGATACTTGGCGTCCCGTTGCTTCTGAATGGATGCTAAGAGAGGAAGTGTGAAGGTGTGTGCCCGCCCAACCCAACTCGCCTTTCGTCGAATCGTGCCTGCCAACTCCTGACTCTTGCGTGCCTGCCTTTGCTCTCGTCCTCGCCGCCTTCCAATCCTGATTACATCATTCTAGTGCTGCGATATGTGGGCAGTAAACGGGCGACGCGAGCAACGGCGACAAGTCATGGTTACACAGAGCACGCTTCCCCTCTCTCTCTCGCGCGACCAACGGCTGAGGTTGTCTCTCTTTTGTGTGTTTGAGGGGTGCTTTTTGCTTCTTTGCTCTCCTTTCTCTCTTCCTTTTTTGCTCCTTGGATGCCAAGAAACCAGTCGCGATACCAGACTCGGGCAGATATCCTCAACCTTTGGCTTTTCTTGCCCCCATCAGACCAACATGATCACGAGAACAAACCAAGTAGTCCCTCTACTTAACCATGCTACCTCATTTCTCGGCCGTTTTGGCCGCAGAGAAAGAAAGAGAAAAAATTCCCATCCTTCTCTACCATCGAGCCTCCGGTTGTCAGACCGTTGAGTAGGAAAAAAGACTGTGACTGGCTGGACCACGCGTAATAAGGTTACGTCCCCAGACTCGTCTCGTTCCAGCCGCGTCAAGTTGCACATACTTATGGCTTTAGACGGGAGCTCAGTCCTCGACTCAACCACCACCGCTATTACAATCATATTTCTTTCTTCCGGATCCGATTCTGGCCTATGGCCTCCCGTCCCTGACTAAGAAACAGGTTCCAACTCGTCACCTTACCGCAATCACGGCCTCCTGGCTTCAACTGCATGGATGCAGGGCCAGGCTGATGGTCTGGCTAACAACCCGAACACTCTTGCTATCAGGACTGCCACAAGGCTCCCATCCTCACCAATGCACAGTACCAAAAGACTCTATCTCACCAAGTATCGGCCACAAACCTCATCTCTTCCACCGTCGCGGCGGGCGAGTTGTCCAGTATCACAGCTGCAGGGCGTGAAGGTGAAGGACAGTCAACGGACCAGCTCCCGGAAGTGGGGCTCTTCTTCTGCCAAACAATCGTCTGGCCATGTCAGAAAAGCAAAGCGTCTTCCGCTGCGCTTGGCTCCTTTTGCGGCCCCTAGACTCCAGACCATCCCCGTCCCTCTCACCTGGACGATGCCACACTGCTTCTTTTCCAATGTCTCTGCAGCAGCACCCGGCCTAGACGTGTCGCAGACGTGCCGCACCTTGTACCAGCTGGCGGCGCTGCACGCCCAAAACGCACTGCACCGATTGACAGATGCTGCAAGAACCGAGAAGAGTATAGACGGACGGAGACACAGACAGAGAGCCTTCAGGCACCGCGTAGCAGATGCAGACGCAGACACAGACAAATCCAGAGAAGGCTTCATCAGGTTATGCCAGGTGCCCCACTGCCCGCCGCGTACCTTGGCCGCCAAAATAGCACATCCGTTTCAAGTGTGGACGGCCCAGCATACAACAGACGGGGGGGGGGGGGGCCTTGACCTGGATCCGTCGGGCCAATCTTTGTTCAACATGTCTTTCTGCTTTCGCACCAACTTCTCGCCTCGCCCTTGTTGCTTTTCGATTTGATGAGCCTGAAGAAAGTCTTCCTACTTACCGCTTCTTCGATGGCCACTAGAAACCCCCGGTAGCTCTGAAAGACCACCGCTCTGTCATCATATAATCATGAGCCATCGCCACCGCGCATGCCATTCAATATATGTATGGCCAAGAGTCGTGGCAGAAGGGCATATTGTCCTCCTGGCTCCCCATGTCGCCAGCCGTCCAACGCCTTCACCAAGTGGCCGCTCGCACTACTATCTGATGGCGTGGGTGCTCGAACTAGTGACACTCCCCGGGGGGGCCGCCAGATGGAAGAGGCGCAGGCTACTTTGTACTGGCGTGCGCGTGGCTGACAATCCAGTCTCGGTCAAGTCGATCGCCTCACTAGCACATCACCCGTTCATTGGCGTTGCATCTTCGGGGTCTTCTCAGCCCAGCAGGGGTTGGCAACACCATCAGCCAGATCCTTGATCCGGTAAACAGCTCCAATGGTTCGAGGCAGCTGGTGTGCGTACCAAAGCTGCGCTGCATCTATTTCTTTTTTACCTCTTCCGTATTCCACGCTTCGATAATGGCAGTCGTCGAAAAAATCTCATCATCAGCTGGTCCAGTCTGGAGAAGATACGAGAGCTCTTTCTCGCCCGGTCCAGCTCGGAGGATTGACCGTTGTTCTGAACTTTTGCTGTCGAAGTTCGTGCAGACGTTGAATCGTTGCTTCCTATTATTGGCCCGTGTCTGCAACGATCACCGCCAGGGTTCCGAGTGGCAGTACAGAGTACGGAGTACTATCGACAGTATGAGTTGAATCCTGTCGCATCAACAACTTCTTCTGGGACTTGGGCAGAAGATACATTCCTCACAGGTAAAGAATTCTTTCAGATTCATGAGGAACAAGAATCAAGTCGACAAGGGAACTCGTGCGCGGTCAATCATCTGTTTCTGGTTCCAAGCCTTACGCCTTGGGCCACACACCCCGCTTCCCCAGCCAAAGTGGCTGACAGGCAGACAGGGTCATGAATATGCAGAAACGAGGCAGCACTGCTGTGAGAGCTGCCAAAGAACACGAAGTAATACACAAATACCGCGCAGCGAAAGCAGCGAGGCTAGCAGCCGACTGTACGACGCGGCATCAGCTCGAAAAAAACCCTGGCACGCCTGATTCTCAAGAGCAAGAGAGAAGGGTGCACAGTCGAGTGTTCTTTTCAGGACGCTGCGCAGGGATCGCCGCCCGGCTTGATGTTGCCAATTACTCCAGGGCAGGGGATGCAGCACAAAGAGTTGGCTACGACACCTGCATTGCGATGAACATAAGGCTGTGAGAAGATATCTCTCCCTCCATCGATGGAAGGTCATCTAGAAAAAAGCAGACGAAACGAGTACGAATAATGTCAAGCAACCCACCTACGTGCCTACCAACCTTCTGCTCGCTGTTATGCTTCCACGCGGGAATCCCTGGCGTAGAGCGACTCACTCAATCACCTCTGCTCTCCATCCCAGAATACCTTGTTTCTCCCTCTGGTCTTGGTGATCTAGATGGCACCGTTGCTTTTATGCGCTCGGGGTCATGGGATTGCCACCGTGCTCTCCTCTACCTTTGCATGTGTGTTCCGGCTAGCGGCAGGGCCATTGACATTAGATACACGTTGGAAAGGACGAAAGCAGAGACTTGGTATGGGCTTAGAGTTTGCGCTTTCGTTCCCGCTTGAACGGCACGGTTGAGGGTCATACAGCCAACAGATTCGAGCACAATTTGTCGCCTCTGTCGCCGCTACCGACCTTTCTCTCTTCAAGGTGAAAATGATGCTCTGACTCGGGACCTTGAGGGCAATGTGAAGCGTCTTGGTATGCCTAGGCAGGATTTGGGATGCCAACAGCCCACTTACCTTGGATGATCTGCGGGTCCCCTCCAAAGTTTCGAACTGCCAGTGCGGGAGCTAGCTACGCACAGAAACCTGTTGATATGACGATCAAAAACACTCATCAACAAGAAAGAAACAAAAAAAACAAGCAATCACTCAGTCACTCAACATCGATCGACCTTTGTGGCCAGCATAAGAGGGCTGCTGGTCTCCATCGGAGGACATGACGGTATGAGTTTGGACTTTGTCATACCGGGCAGAGAGGCTCGATTGGCAAGGGAATGGCGTCACCAAAGACACCACCCGTATCTGACGACACACACCCTTGGCTGAGATCGATGGGCATCGAGGACGATTGTGGCCAGTTGCCATCGCATCACCTTTTTCAGCCAAGCATACGCATCGCGCACTTCATTTCAGAGCGGTCGAAAGAGCCGCGAGTTTCTACTTGCGTGCTTAGATGGCGACAGCTCGCAAGTTGCAACTACGCCAAAGACAGAGGAAACAGTGTCCAACAGACGGTAGCTCTTTTGATACAGTCGAAGATGTCTGATCGTCGCACTCAAATCGACGACCCGGGAAGGGCAAGGGGGCCAGACCCCCGCCCCTTGTGGTGGGTCCGGACCATGCTCGAGTCCCGGAGCCAGCTCCCCCATCTCATTGTGTGTGGGTATCCCATGCCATGAGCCTCCATCAAGCATCGCGACAAGAAGCTGGCGCTTGCGTGTGTCAAATATGCCACATTCAAAGCACCGCCAGGATAAGAACAGCAAGAGACACCTGCCAGTCTTCCTTCTATCAAGATGGAGCTTTTCACTCGTGTGCTGCGCAGGGGACATCGAGGAAGAGAGCATTCGTGCCCCTGAGGATCTCACTGGAAGGTGACGGAAGCGTATGCGTGTCGCTGGGACGAGTGTCCACTACCCGACAAGGCCAACCCCTGGTCAAAGGGACCGACCCAAAGAACGGACAATGATTGGCTTTCAAACTCGGTAGGCGGCACCTACTGGGGCGAGGTGTGTCTCTTCGTCTCATTTGGGGCCCGTCTCTCTTCTACATCTCAGTCGCCAGTTTCTTTTTTTCTGCCCAGCAAAGACGGTGGCTTGAGATTACCACCGGGCCTTGGAGGAAGCCGTTCTTTGGCTCATTCGGGTGGCAGTCCAGCCCGTGGCGAAAAAGAACCACTTGACAGCAAACTGCAAACGGTTGCCAGCTGATAATCGAATGTGTATACTGGAAGAGACGGGGTGTGAAGGTCGGATGTCGGGTCAGCGCGTCTTGTGTTGGGCGATGTGCGATGTAGGTGTCTTCCATGCCTTCGCGACTGATGAAGATACCGGGTCAGGCGCAGGAATTGACTGCCACTTGTTTTTCTTCAGATCCCGACGCCCTTCCAGAAGGCGTGAAGAATATAGATAAGCGGTAAACACTACCGCGGTACGGATAGAGGCCTTGAGTGCGGCTCTCTCCTTTGCACCAAATTCGCGACATCGGCATGCGTGCCGACGTGCGATAATCACGGGGCATCGGTAGTTTGGCCGGGTGTTTTTGATCAGCCTCCATCAACCTCGGGAACCGCGATGTATAGCTGGCCGCCGGCCGCTTTTCTGACAAAGGATTGCACTTTGAGAAACATGATGGGTATTCCCAGAGCCCATAGGTACTCCGTACACGGTACTCATAAGGCCGCCCAGTCTCCGAACAGAGTTGTCTGATGGCCACACATCGTTCGCTGACTGACCACCTGCTCGATACTCTGCCTGATCCGAAGGGACCTGGCATCTGCTCCGTGCAAAAGAAAGGGCAGCTTGTCAAACCCGGGTCCGCGTTGGTCATGGAGTACCCCTGCTCGTTAGTTTTGACCTTGACAGGGGTCTGGGGCGGGTTGCGGGCTAAGTAGAGCGCGGTGGTGGTCGACCGTCGACGTTACTGCAGGACTTTCGGACCTTTGGACTCTGGTAAGGACAGACTGACAGACCAGCCGACTGCAGGTCTCGTGGCTGCGACTTACTCTACAGATAGACTACCGGTACGGCTACACGACCTATGCCTTGTTGTCTGGGCCTTGGACGGGGATCGAAGGCGTCCTCACAACTCTGCATGAAGAGGGTACTGACACCAAGTTCGCCATACCAACAAAACTATCTAGCAGGCAGCGGAAACTCAGGGTGCCAAGAAGCTGGCTTCGTGCTCTCGTTGGCAGCCAAAGAGGCTAGAGATCTTTGTTTTCATTTTGGTGAGATGAAGATTGAACAAACCCTGGGAGCCCGCACTCTACAACACATAGGTACTGCAATGTGTATCCATACGGATACCAGAGCAGCACCTCTCATATTGACCTAGTACGCCTGGCTCAGGAATGGAGAGGTGGGGATGAGCACAGACAAGCGCCTGCAGGGCATCCCAAAAGGGGACCACGCCAATGAGCTTGGCTCCCCCGACCGGTACGGAGCTCAGAGTGGCCCAAGTCTTTTTGCTCGTAAGTGCTGTGTGTGTGTGTGTGGCAGCGTTGGGAAATGGGAGGAAGTGGAGAGAGGGCCGGTGACAGTTTCACCATGTGCTATGAGCCATCTGGTGTTTGCCTGGCAGTGGCAGCCCTCTCTGCCGTCTTCTCGTTGCTGGCTGGCTGTGCTTCTTCTTGAGTGGCAGGGTGGCTTGATCGATTCCTTGTTTCTTCTTGTTTGGAGAAACACCACCACCACCAGGAGGCACTGAGACAGATGGAGAGACGAGGAGAGCGTGTGAGAGATGGACGGGAAGCATAATGGCTTGTTTGATGGATGTCAACTTTGGTGTCCCATCATCCCGTCCATGGTCCTGCAAGGCGCTGCTGGGACAGTCACTCAGTCTGGCAGTCTGGCTGGCTGTGGCTTGTGTTCAAGGAAATCCCTGGGATCTGCAGAGCCGGGGTGTAAGGAGGGAGGGGGGTCCAATTCCGTATCTGTCGTGCTGCAACGCCAGGTATC